GAAGACACGGACCCATACTACTACAGGGAGCGGCTCACCATGCCCAAGCTGCTCGTCAGTGCAGCCAACGACGAAGTGCTGGCACTGGATGACACGTGAGGCGTGTTCAGGGTTCAGGGTTTAGGTTGTTGGCACATGTGTGGGATGACACGTGAGTGGGCCTTAGGGTTTAGGGTTGTGACACAGGAGTGGGGTGGTGGCACGTGAGCAGGGCTCAAGGTTCAGGGTTTAGCATTTAGGGTTGATCACATGTGAGTGGGGTGATGCGTGTGATGATGATATTTCTGAGTCGGTCCTACACACATCCCTTTTGAGCTGATAACAGCAGCATACGCGAGCTCTGCCCTTTATCTGCCCATTTTCCCCCATCCTCCACTCGTTTTCCCCTGGTCCTTCTGAGGCCCTTTTTTCCTCTCCTCCTGCCCTTCTTGGATTCATGTGGTGCCTGGGACCACATTCCCGTTTTCCCACTCCACGCTGCCCTGCCAGCCAGGTACATCTGGTGGAATGACATGCCCGAGCCAAAGCTTCTCAAGATCATCTCTCCCTCCCACTTCCCCCCAATCTTCCCCCACTCTTCCCCCACTCTTCCCGCACTCTTCTCCCGCTCTCTCCTTTCTCTCCCCTCTTTCTTCCCCATGCCAGGTACATGTGGTGGAACAACCTGCCGCAGCCGAAGCTGCTCAAGATCATGGCCAACCCCCCCCCCCCCTCCTCCCTCCAATCCCCCCTCCCCCCCCCCCCTCTTTTACCCCCCCGTTGTTCCCCCCCCCCTCCCCCTCCCTCCCCCCCCTCGACAGGTACATCTGGTGGAACAATATGGCTGAGCCAAAGCTGCTTAAAATAATGGCAAACTCGGAGCACATGCAGATCCACGTCAACCAATGGGTGAGCACATGCAGATCCACGTCAACCAATGGGTGAGCACATGCACATCCATGTCAACCAATGGGTGAGCACATGCACATCCATGTCAACCAATGGGTGAGCACAGCACATCCATGTCAACCAATGGGTGAGCACATGCACATCCATGTCAACCAATGGGTGGGTGATTAGAGCAGGATTAGCATGATAATTCTAATGAGAAACACCTAGCCACGTGTCGATCCACCTGAAGCGCGTTGTGAGGACTATGCACTGCACTCCGTGGAATCGTTTCGGCTCGTTTTGGCTCGTTTCGGCGTCTCATAGTCTCCTACCTTGCAATCCCCTCCATGTCTTTCTTTCTTCCCTCCCCACTCCCTCTCTCGTCAAACCCCCCCACGCCCTTGGGCAGGCTAACCAAGCCACCCTCGCCTTCCTCGCCTCTCTCCTGCACGTCAACTCCTCCTGCGCCTCTCTCCCCGCCTCCTCCCGCCCCTCCCTCACCTGGACGCGCCCCTCCAACGCCGCCCCCTCTCCCAGCCGCCGCAAACGCTTCGATAAAACAGAAGGCACGGGGCTGTTTTCCCGGGAGGAAGGGGAAGCGGCAGAGGCTCAGGGAGGACTAGGAGGGGGAATGGAACGGTCAGATGGAGACGCGCTGACCAATCAGGAGCAGCCACCGCATCCCTGGAGCTGCGTGCCCGAGCTGCCAGCTGTCGACTGGCCGCGGCTGAGGTGGCGGTTTGATTGGTCCACGTTCACCATCCATGCCACGTCAGACAGGAAGCCATTGGCAGTTAGAGCATGGTGAGAGATGAGAAGGAGTAGCGTGGGCGGGAAGTGTAGGAGGGCCACAGCGGAGGGCGCGAGGGAAGGGTTCGGAACAAGGGAGGTGGAGGAGGAAGGGGCAGGTTGAGAGGAAGGTGAAGGGGGAGAGGGAGGGTGAGGGGAAGGGGAAGGGGCAAGGAAGGGGAGGGGAAGGGGGACAGGGAGGGGGGAAGGGAGGGGAGGGGGAAGGGAAGGGGGAGGGAGGGGAGGAGGTAGGAGGGAAACGATAGGTTGAGTGTATGGCTGATGCCATTCAACCTCTTGTTCCGCCCTCTGTGTGTGTCATGGGATCACACATGTCATGGGAACACACATGTGATGGGATCACACATGTGATGGGATCACACATGTGATGGGATCACACATGTGATGGGATCACACATGTGATGGGATCACACATGTCATGGAATCGCACGTTTTATGGGATTGCGCGTTTCTGCCTATCGGCTTTATTTCTCTACACTCTCAAAAACCCAAAACCCCCTTCCCCCCATTCCATTCCCCTTCCTCTCTCTCCCTTCCCTACCATGCTCCCCGTGCCTCACAGGACCGGCAAAACGGCCAGCGAGCGACGAGACTTCCGCTTCGTGCTGCAGCGAGGCTCCAAGGGATGGTGAGTGGTGCAAAGGGGTGGTGAGTGGTGCGAAGGGGTGGTGAGTGGTGCGAAGGGGTGGTGAGTGGTATGGCGTATGCCCTGCTCGTGCAACCCAACCCCTCTTTCCTCTGCATCTGCGTCCCTCTCTCCCTTCATCCCCACTCTCTCAACATCACGTTCCCCATCTCTCCCCCTCCTCCTTCCTCCCTCTGCTGGCAGTATGATGCCAACAGTGCCAGGCACGTATGCAGGCAAGTTCCACCTGTGTGTGCAGGCCACATCCTTTTTCCTCCGCACCTGCTGACCTCTCTTCCTTCATCCCCACCCCCCTCCCCTCAGCACGGCGCCCATGCCAACGGTGCCGGGCACGTATGCAGGCAAGTTTGACCTGTGCATCCAGGCCACGCCATTCTTTCTGCACACCGTGTCGCCGCCCACGCACCACCCCGACGATGGCTTGTGGCACTTCAGCTCCACCATATCCGATGTTCCCAAGGTGGCTATAACGAGGGTGATTTTTCTTCTGGAAAAGCGCTTTGGTAGGTGACTGCAGTGGTCTAAAGGTGACTATTGTGAGGGGCCTCAAGGTGACTGTCTGAGTGACCTTCCCAAGGTGATTGTGCTGCATTCTTTACCCAGCATGTTTGATTCCTACCGTATGTTCTTTTTCTCCTTGGAGATGATTTTTCAGAGAGAAGGAAAGAACCACCGTGCCACTCACACATATGGATTGATACACTGCACGTGTCATTTGCAGGTGGGGTTTCGAGCATTGTGGATTGAAGCTGATTTTGCGATTCCACAAAGAAAGGCTCCTTTTGTGTTGACAACCGAAGCCATTCTAGCCCCGAATAAGCTGCCGTTCTCACCCTGTCAGCCAGGCAACCATTCTTGTCAACAACGTTGGGTGTGATGAGACGTGCCATGCGGCCCGTTGGACTTGCCATTTGTACTTTACCGTTCATGTCGTACTCAATGTTGAAAATTCTGTCTCCATACTGGGGTTCTTTTCTTCATTTTGTTCATGTGCCGGTTGAGCCTGCTTGATGTTCTAGTATTATGATTCTAGGTTCTTCAGGCAGGAAATGTAATATCGAGGGTCCTGAGATTTTTTGTGGGAAAAGGCGGCGAGCATTTTTATAAATTTTGCAAGTGTACCGGTAACACTTTCTCAAATTTCGTATTGTGAAAGGGTGTACGTGGCCAACACTGTTAAGGAATGATTTACTGTTCACTTTGAACAGTACTTTCCAACTCACCCTTATCCTTATCTTCCTAGATTTCCTAGTGCCACGTGGCACTTAATATTGTTTGCCTTCCAATTCCTAGTCCCACATTCTACTTTCCAACCTTCCTTCTTGCATGCTATATAAACCTTGCTTGTATTCCCTCATATCAACCAATTCTCATTCAACTCTTCTTCAATTACTCAGTAACTTCTTCGCCTATTTCGCCAATAGTTCTTTCGCCAAAGTCTTCCGCCGCGTTTCATCCTCGACTTAGTCGACCCCGCTAATTCTTTAGCGGACTTAGGCCAGCGGGCCTAACACTTGGTATCAGAGCCTTCGCGGGGAGCGACTTCCAACGAGCGACCGTCGACGACGAGACTACGCCGTCATCGTCCCGCGGTGCCGACTTGCAGACTTGGAGTCGTCGAGCGAACATGGACGAATCCATGAACGCTTTCCCCCACGACATGGGCAACACGCTTGCCGAGCTCATGCGTCAACTCGAAGAATTGACGTTGGAAAATCGTCAGGTACGAGCCGAAATGCAACAGCTTCGCAATTTGGCTTCTAACCCCCATGGCCTTGCCGCACCAACTCCTGCACCCACCACGTCGACTGGCGCGGAAGCGCTGCCGGAACGTCGAAGCGCACTCAAGCCGCAGAAACCGGAGTCGTTCGACCCAAGTCAACGCGACGCGAACGTGCGGACGTGGCTCTTCATGCTCAACAATTACTTCGCCGCGAGCGGGGTGCAAGAGGCGGACGCGCAGCAGCGAATCGAATACGCCGTAACGCTGTTGAGGGGCCCGGCCTTGGAGTGGTGGCGCCAACTTACGCAGACTGCTGTACGGAGGGCTCAGTTAGACGGGCATCAACAGGGCGTGGGGCATGCAGCTGCAACTTCGAGCTTAGGGAGTCTAGCTTTGGGTGTTACATCGGTTCCGACCACATGGGAAGGATTTAAAGTGGCGCTGAAAAGTAGGTTCGATTTGGTGAACGCCTCCGAAGCTGCTAGGAAGCGTCTGCGTCATTTCCGACAGATAGGCAACGTCCAGGAGTACACACGACGGTTCTTGAGCATCTGCAACGAAATAGACGACATCACGGAAGCAGAGATGCGCGATCGCTACCTCGAAGGGTTGAAGCCGGACATAGCGGAGATTATTGCGATTCACGGGTTGTCCACCTTCGAGTCAGTTGTCGCAGCAGCAGAACGCGTCGACGCAGTACGAAGCCGACGGGGTCGTGACGATCGCGATAGGGGATACAACAGACCGATCAAAGGAGCTCGATCGAGGGACGGACCATCGCCCATGGAGATTGGTGCAGTTAACAGTGACGGCCCACAACGTAACGGTTTTAGGGGGAACTGTCACTACTGCAAAAAGCCGGGTCACATGAAGCGGGACTGCCTACAGTTCAAGGAGCGGCAGCAGGGAAACGGAAACCGCCAGTAGATAGCGGGTCGCTAGCTGGCGTGGAGGTTCCCGTACCCGCCACGTCTACCAACGTAGAGAGGACGGCCTCACAGCAGTCATTTATGGAGAACGAGGTAGACACTGTTGACCGACCAGTC